TTTCTAATTATGAACAAGAACTGTTCCCATCCCTGCAGTGAGCTGAGACTTTGACCTCTGTCGCATTTCAGATGCAACACCAGCGATCAAAACCCTCGTAATCAGGGATTTTATTTATTCCCAGCTACAGAAAAGCCTTCTGAATGGAATTCCAGACCTCATTTTCTGTGCAATTCATTATTTGGGACGTGGTGGCTGCACCTGCTTGGGGTTTGGGTTTAAAGAGAGGGGCAGGTTGTCTGAAATGAGCTCTCTGCATTTCCAGTGTGGCCACAGTGGGAGCTGCTGATCCTCCAGAGCTGTGTCCTGCTTCTTAGAGGCAGGGAATCATGGAAAACAGACACAGAATAATGGAATTTGGACATCTCAGTGAAGCTGGGGCTGCCCCTGGATCCCTGTCAGTGCCCAAGGCCAGGCTGGACAGGGCTGGGAGCACCTGGACAGAGGAAGAGGATGGAACAAGGTGGGCTTTAATGCCCCAAAGCATTCCCTGATCTGGGATCTCCTCCTGCCCCCTCTTTCAGAGAAGGAATGAAGATAAGGAAACCTCCAGGACTGAGCTGATGAAGCTGCAGCAGTGTCTGGTCCATCACCAGCACCGCTGTGTCACCAGGAGTGACAAGCACGAGGTGCAGGGCAATGATGGGGACAGGGGACAGCCAGGACGGGACTGTCCCCACCCCCTGTGTGCCCAGAGGAGCCCTGGCCATGGCAGGGAGGGGACAGAGGGGGAGGGGACAGAGGGTGAGGGGACACTCACAGGGACAGGGGACACACACACACTCACAGGGTGAAGGGACACTCACAGGGACAGGGGACACACACACAGGGACAGGAGACACTCACAGGGACAGGGGACACTCTCACAGGGACAGGGGACACACACAGGGTGAAGGGACACTCACAGGGTGAAGGGACACTCACAGGGACAGGGGACACTCACAGGGTGAAGGGACACTCACAGGGACAGGGGACACTGCAGCCCCCCCAGGTGTGACCCAGAGCCACAGAAAGGCTCCCAGGCACACTTTAATTGTGCAGGTGCTAAATGAACTGACAGCTTTAATTGCAGGAGCAATTTCCACGTCTATCCAAAGGCACGGGCCCACAGGTTCTGAAAGCAGGCAGAGGCAGGCAGGGATAATGTAAATTATCCTGGGCAGGTCTCTAAACAAGGTCTGTGGTGACCTTGGTAAGGACTGGGATGTTTCTGATCTTGTGGGAAAGACACTTCCAGGGGAAGGAAGTTCAGAGCTTTTCCAGTTTCACATTCAGAAAACAAGAATAAATATGATAAAATTATCATAATAAATATAATGTGGGGAAGTTACCACATTAATTTATTTAATAAATTTAATTTGTATAATTTATTTCTATAATAAATAATAATATTTATATAATAAATATAATTTGTGGGGAAGTTACCACATTCCCCACAAATTTCTGAGACTTAACCAACTCCCCACCACAAAAAGTTATCAACTCCTGTTGCAATTAAATTTTTAGCATCATCCATATTTCTCCTGTGTGCCTGGATACCACACAACACTTCCAGGGTGTTGCTTCCTGAAGATTCCAGGCCTTATCTTCTACAAATGCAATTATTCTCGTGTTGTTTTCCCGTCTGCAGTGGGGCAGGGGCAGCAGCTCCGTGCCCCTGTGGCAGGGTGAGAGCTGAAGGCAGCACTGATTATCCACACCCGGAAAAGAGCCGGGCTGCAAGGGGAGAGAGGATTAGAATGTTCCTGGTGAATTTTAATGGCCTTTAATCAGCCACTCCACGCTGATTACCACAAGCTCAGGAGCCTGTTTCCTCCGAGTGTGCATGGCTGGGGTGGATTCGCTGTTTAACTGCCCTAATTTAATTCCTGCTCAGCAATCAGCGCTCAGCTGGCTCCAGAGCCATCCAGGTGGGGAGAGGAGAGGATTCCTCAGGGCTGGGGGCTCTTCCATTCCTCTGTCTGCTCCTTCTCCCATTGCTCCTGCCCTGCCCTGTCCTGGCAGAGCCCTGCTGGCCCCTGCCTGTGGGAGAGGAACAAAATCCTTCCCTGGCAGGGTGGGCAGTGCCTGGCACAGCTGGGGCTGCCCCTGGATCCCTGGCAGTGCCCAAGGCCAGGCTGGATGGGATTTGGATCACCCTGGGACAGTGGGAGGTGTCCCTGCCATGGCTGGGGTGGCACTGGAGGGGCTCTGAGGTCCCTCCAACCCAACCCATCCTGGGATTCTGTGAATAATGAACACTCTCAGAGAGGGAGGGGTGGTTGGCAAAGCAGATCCAGAGATCACTCTTGAGGACGTGGATCACGATCATCTTTAACCCAGGGAGATCTGGGGGAAGTCTGGAGAGAGAAAAAGTCACCATTGCCAGAGAAGAAAGGCACTCAGAAAGTGCTGGAATGAGCCCCAGGATCATGAATGGTTGGCCCTGTCCAGCCTGGCCTTGGGCACTGCCAGGGATCCAGGGGCAGCCCCAGCTGCTCTGGGCACCTGTGCCAGGGCCTCAGCATCCTCTGAGTAAAGAATTCCTTCCCAATCTCCCAGCTCTGTTCCCCCCCAGCAGTCAATTTGAGAAGGTTCTTGGAAAAGCTGACACAGCAGCTCCTGAAATCCAGGAATTGAGACTTTTGCAGCTCAGCACCAGCAAAAAATTCTGCTGCAAGATGTAAAATGTCCCATCCTGTGGTTTTACAACATCCTGCACCTGCCCAGAGGGGCTGCACTGCCTCAGCAGGAGGAGGAGGAGGAGGAAGGGCTGACTCCAGAGGGGCTCCTGGATCTGTTCCCACATCAAATTGGACACAGACAATTCCTCTGCAGCGAGGCTCATTTGCCATCATCAGATTAACTCCTCTGCAGGGACAGGAGGAGAAACACACAGGAACCAACTGCAGCAGGTTTATCTCTGAACCCCATGAAGAAAAATCCCTCTCCAGGCAAAATTGTCTTTGTGAACAGCCCCAGCACAGCCGCTCACTCCCTGCTCCCTCACTCCCTCCATGCCCTGCCCTGTGCAGCCACCACTCCCACACATTTTCCCCTTCATTTCCCTCTATTAAGGCACTAATTGATTGACCAGATCGGGAGAGCCCAGATCTGTCCCCTGGGACTCTCCTGCATTCCCAGCGATGACTGCACATGGGCTCAGGGATGGGCAGAGCTGAACCTCAGTGGCTGGGCTGGGATGGGATGGGAAATCTCCTCTGTCCCATCCCAGTCCCCTCCCTCTGCTCTCCCGTGTTCCCAGCCAGCTCTGATCCCCCTCCTCTCACTCAATTCCCCCCAGCCAGCCCCAAATGCAGCCCCCACAGCCACAGGATCAGTCCCTGCTCCACCTTCCAGGGAGCAAAGTGTCCCTGGGTGCCTGGGGGTGCAGCTCGGAGCTCAGCCATCCCTGCTGTCCCTCCTCACACAATTCAATTGTCAGTTGTGTTCTGACCCCAGAGGAAAGGCAGCCAGAGCTCTTCAAGGGCAGAAACCCGGGCAAGTGCAGAGTACAGAGGGGGTGAAGCCCACAGCTGCTGTTTTCCAAGTCCATGGAGCCTGTGGAATTCAGTCAGAGCTGCCTGAAGGAGCCCCCAGGGCTGTCCCTGCCCAGCCAGGGCTCCCACCCGGAGCCTCTGCCCCTTTTCCCTGTCCCAGCACGGCCCAGGAGGCAGCAGGGCCATGTTCCTGTGGAAGCTGATCCCAGGAACCCTGCTGCTCTAAATCCAGGCACAATCCCATCTCCCAGCCTCATTCCAGGCATTGGGGGTGGGGGCACTAAAAACAATGGGTTAAACTGTGAGTGGAATTTTCAGGAAGGCTCCAGACTTCTCTGCTCCCCATCCAAGAGCTCAGCTCACAAACTTGATTTTCTTACTAGGATTTTTTGCTTCTTGAGCAGCTCCTGAGGGGCTGGAATTCTGGAAGGTCCCAATGGCTCGATGGGATGGGGCTCCCAAGGATTAGTGGAGGCAATAAAACATCCCTGGCTCCCAGTCCTGCCCCTCCTGGTGCCGTTTACTCCCCCAGCTACATCACAAACCACGGGCCCTTCACCAGCACCAAACTCCTGCTTTGACAACCAAATCCTGGAATCCACAGCAGAACTTTCAGGGTTATTCCTGTCCCATGCCAGGAGGCCAGGAACAAGTTTTTAAAAGCCTTTTAAAATACTCTTCCAAAGCTCCACCCAATTCAGTCTGGACAGGGCTGGAGGGTTGTAAAAGAAGGCAGAAATTCTCATTTCCAGGTTTGGCTCTTTTGCTTCATTAAACCTGGGAACAGCCAAAGTTTCTGAGCAGGCAAAGGTTGTGGGATGGTCAGTGAAAGGAGCTGCAATCCCACAGGAAGCCACACATTTGATCCATTGGCAGCAAACGTGCAGCTCTGTGTTTCTGGGGATTTTTGATCCTGCCATAACAGCCTGGACTGTTTTTTCTGGAAGCTCCAAAGCTGTTTAAAGTCTCACTGCAGGGCAGGCAAAAAGCAGCTCCCAGTGCTGGATGTGTCTCCTCCCAGTGCTTGGGACCAGCAGGACCAAACCCCCCCAGGGCAGCACCTGGGGCAAACCTTCCTCTGGCACAACACAGGTTCATCCTGAGCTCATCCCTGCATCCAGCAGAAATCTGAATGTGTTCTGCACATTCCCTGTGTGCAGAGCAGCCCTGCCACAGCCACGGGACCCTGAGCAGGGACACACTTCTGGGAGCAGCTTCAAGGTTCCCAACTCAAAAGATTCCTGGAGAAAAGTGCTTTTCTCTGCCAGAAGTGAATCCCAGACTCCCAAAGGTGTTGCAGGAGTCTCGGGGTGCTTTGCTGTGTCCAGCTGCATCCATCCACAGGAGCACAGGACACAGTTCCCTCCAGCAGCGGGGGGTGTTCTTACACAGCCCTGGCATGATGGACCTCAGCACCCTTTCCACAGCCATCCCCACTCAGGAAAACATCCTGTGCTCCTCAACAAACCCACTCTGGAAGCTGCTGAGGCTGAAGTTGCAGTTAAAGCAATGCTCACTTACCTGCCAGAATATGCTGTCTATTGTGTTCCCCAGGAAGCCGTCCCTGCCCTCTGATGACACCAGCTTAGGTCCCAGAATCGTCATAAATTCATCAAAATCCACCTGGCCATCCCCTGCAATGAGAGGAAAAGATCAGACTCAGAAATCAGGGAGAAGGTTGGGTTGGAAGGAACTTTAAGAGGCTGTATAGAACAGCACCCTGATGTGACCAGGGACACCTTGCCCTGCTCTGAGCCCCCTCCAGCCTGGCCTCGGGCACTGCCAGGGATCCAGGGGCCTGCCCACCCTCATTAGTATCAATTAATTACCCCTGAGAGCCCAACGTGCCCCTCTGGAGCTGCTGCACACCAGGGACCCCCCACACCCCGGGAAAGCTCCACAGCAACTTCCCGGTGCCCACGGACCCCAATCCTTTGCTGTGCCAGGGAATGGCCCCGGTTGTGTCCCAGCTGCCCCCAAGACAGGATCAGACCCCTGAAAATCACACAGCTCACTCAGGGAAACAGCTCACTGAAATCACACTCTGAGGGAAACAGCTCACTGAAATCACAACTGAGGGAAACAGCTCACTGAAATCACACACTGAGGGAAACAGCTCACTGAAATCACAACTGAGGGAAACAGCTCACTGAAATCACACTCTGAGAAAAACAGCTCACTGAAATCACACAGTGAGGGAAACAGCTCACTGAAATCACACTGAGGGAAACAGCTCACTGAAATCACACTCTGAGGGAAACAGCTCACTGAAATCACACAGTGAGGGAAACAGCTCACTGAAATCACAACTGAGGGAAACAGCTCATTCCCAGGGCCAGGGAGCCCAGAGAAACTCTCGGCACAGACGTGGGGAGATCAGCGCAGCCCCAGCAGTCCCGGGTGGAATTTCCATCTCCGGGCAGCAGAGCTGGGATTTCTGGTGGGAATAGCCTGGGCTGAGGCTCTGAAAGGCCGGGATCTACAGGGATCTATCTGCAGGGATCTGCAGGAATCCGCAGGGATCTGCAGGGATCCGCAGGGATCTGCAGGGATCCACAGGGATCCGCAGGGATCCACAGGGATCTATCTGCAGGGATCCGCAGGGATCCACAGGGATCTGCAGGGATCTATCTGCAGGGATCTGCAGGGATCCGCAGGGATCTGCAGGGACCCGCAGGGATCTGCAGGGATCCGCAGGGATCTGCAGGGATCTGCCAGGATCTGCAGGGATCTGCAGGGATCCGCAGGGATCCGCAGGGATCCGCAGGGATCTGCAGGGATCGGATCCACAGGGATCCGCAGGGATCCACAGGGATCTGCAGGGATCCGCAGGGATCCGCAGGGATCTGCAGGGATCCGCAGGGATCCACAGGGATCTGCAGGGATCTATCTGCAGGGATCCGCAGGGATCTGCAGGGACCCGCAGGGATCTGCAGGGATCCGCAGGGATCTGCAGGGATCTGCCAGGATCTGCAGGGATCTGCAGGGATCCGCAGGGATCCGCAGGGATCCGCAGGGATCTGCAGGGATCGGATCCACAGGGATCCGCAGGGATCCACAGGGATCTGCAGGGATCCGCAGGGATCGGATCCACAGGGATCTGCAGGGATCCACAGGGATCTGCAGGGATCCGCAGAGATCTGCCAGGATCCGCAGGGATCTGCAGGAATCCGCAGGGATCTGCAGGGGTCCGCAGGGATCCACAGGGATCCGCAGGGATCGGATCCGCAGGGATCTGCCGGGATCTGCCAGGATCTGCAGGGATCTGCAGGGATCCGCAGGGATCCGCAGGGATCTGCAGGGATCTGCCAGGATCTGCAGGGATCTGCAGGGATCCACAGGGATCTGCAGGGATCTGCCAGGATCTGCAGGGATCTGCAGGGATCCGCAGGGATCGGATCTGCAGGGATCCGCAGGGATCCGCAGGGATCTGCAGGGATCCGCAGGGATCTGCAGGGATCCGCAGGGATCCGCAGGGATCCACAGGGATCCGCAGGGATCCTGTAAAAGCCGCCGCTCC